AAAATAAATTGTAGACCTTTGACTACAAATTTGTGTAACATTTTTTTGATCGGTTCACCCATTCGGACACAATAGCCCGAAATCATTGGGCAAATAACTAAGCCATACCCAGTTAAATCGTTATTTGGTTTTCCTCAATCAACAATTGCACCAAGATCATGTCACGCACCCAGCTGATTCTGTCAAATTCACAAAGACCGGATTAGCGGTACCGCGATGGACGCAATCTCTATTTCTCCCAGTCGTGTGTTATATCGCTCGATAGAAGGAGCTGTAGAACACTCGCCGGTGTATTAACAGACCACTGTCTTGTTGCAGCACACGCATATAAATTGTAATTCGCTCACAGCGATGCTTGTAGGAAATGTAACGTTTCGGGTGCAAAAGAAACCCTGGAGCATCTGTTGTGTCCCTGTCCGGCTCTCTGGGAAACAAGACTTAAATACCTGGAAGCAACTAACGACGGACTAGACAGAATTCTCGAAACTGGACTTGATCTTCTTCTAAAATTCGCAAATGAGACGCATATCATAAGTGACATATATTTTCGCTAAAACAGGACTCTAATCTCGTATCGCTATGGTATAATCTAACCTAACCTACAAAGTGTACGTGAGTGCGGCGGTGGTAACAATGTAAAAGCTAATGCCAATTAAAACCATAGAAGTAAAAATAGAAAGAAGCCGTTCTGCAGCGAAGGTTGCTTATATATGAAAAATGCAATAAGGTATAGTGTTGTTGAATGCGGTACAGAAAATACTGTGCCTTGAGCATACATATAGACATACATAATAATTTAACTAAAACAATTATGACAACCAATAATTGTGCATGGTGAAATTATACGAGGTGTAGTAATAAAAGGGAGAAGAAAGATTTTACACTATATTATTTGAAAATTTGCTTGGAAACATTCCGATGGTCAAGAAAACTAAGAATATAAAGCGAGAATACTGTTTCATTACTACACCTGGTATTATTTCACCATGATAATTATGTAGAAATACAAAGTTGCCCATTGTTAAACACGTACGGTAAATGAAAGTTTCACAAGCAACCTGATAGGGTGACCAGCCGGACACGGTACCCATGGTTCTCCCAAACAGTGGTAATTCACCAAAGTAATTCAGAAGGGAACCACGTAATTGTCAGTGCTCGTGGGAACTTAGTGTTGAACAATATACGCTCATTGTGCTTGATAAATACCCGTAACAAAATGTAATCCCTACCTCCCAGAACTCAATCCCAACTCTAAACCTGCTTTCCCGCTTTCTTTGGGCAATTACCTTGCAATTATAAATGATAAAAACTTAATTTATTTCTTCTATATATCTTAAGCTGCAGAAAAAAATATGATCTACCAAATTCGAGGTGCTCATCACTATGTCATGCACACATTTAGCAAAAAGAAATATCATATTCGTATCAGAAATACAGTTTTATACACTCACCTCGCGTTCGGCACTGACTTGAGATCATCCGGCGCATTTGGACCAAGTCTTCCAAGGTTTTGTACTGTTAACTGCGACGTGTTATATGAATCGTAGCTAGACACACTGTCGTATGAGTTGCCATTTAGTTGAGTTACTTTATTGACGCTAACCGCTGGATTTGAAATTGCTGCATTGAGAAGTGCTTGACGTTCCAATGAAGCTTGGTGGTAATCCATCGAGTCGTTGGCGCTTCGGGAGATGTATTCAGCATGCACTTCGCCATTAATGACGGCTTTGCCAAACAGACGTCCTTGTGCTGAACGACCCAACGTTCCACTTGAACTGTTGGTACGTAGATCTGGAAGCATTTCACCTGGTCCAGGCTTTGATTGGCGATCGATTCGTGGCGGAAGATCAGGTGCATGTTTACCATAAAATGATTGTGGGCGTGCAGAAGGCGTTGATGGGTCGGAAACCACAACATCTGCATCAATAATACTGGATCCTGTCGCATAAGTTGCATATTTATTGCCATCAATTGGTTGTCGGCAATTTGATGATAAATTAATAGCGTGATCATACGGAATCTAGTGCCAGAAAATGAAATTTCCATTTAAAGGTCAAATATTTTAAGCACTCACTTTGAATTTTTTTATTAAATTTATAGTTCTCATTTAATATTGTTAAATTCTTTGAAAATGCAACTTGAACGCTTTTTATCAATATCATAAATATGAAAAAATATTTTAAATATTTTAATGAATGTACTATTTTGATAAGCAATAGTTAACCGTGTTTTAAACAAAATGTTTCGTATGTATGTAGCTATACATTTTAATGCATTCATAAGATTACATTACAGTTAAGGATGAATTATTGTGTATGCAGGTGTTTGCCTCTTACCGTATATGGAGGTGGTAATCCGTCACCGACTGTATCTCTAGACCTATCCAAGTTATCCTGATTAGTGGCAATCGACGGATCTGAGCTCGATTTGACCAATTGCGGCAAATTACCGAGGGACAATGACGTTGACGGCCCCGGACTTAATTCCAAATCAGATTCCGGACTCGATGCATACGATAGACGGGAGGTGGTCATTGGGAAAAGGAAATCATCGGACAGGGATTCAATCGGCTATGGTCGGTTCATTAGTGGTGTGGACAGAGACATATGTAGATTTGAGATGATATTAATGTAAGGGAGGAAGATTTGTTTGCATTGATATAACATTTTTGTTATTTTCCAGGAGTAAAATACATATGTAAAATAGAAATTTGTTAAAAGAAGATTTATTTCAAAACGTAGCAAACATCATATATGTTGTATTATAAAATAACGCAAACGAAAATGAATAAAATAGTATTAACACAAAGTTAAACAGGTTTACAAAAAATGTTTTGTAGCCGAATGATGTTGGGAACAGACACATTTGGGACGAAGGACAAAATATAACCGAATACATTGATCATTATTGGGTTCGGTTTGAATTGTGACGAATTAATAAAGCAAGGAAATGACCATGGTGATATTTGTGGAATGATTTTCATTAGCATAAGAGAAATGAAATAAAGGCATACAAATATTAAGTTAGCAATAGTGTCATATAAATATACTTATATCTTTTTATCATTAGCAATTTATCCATATTTTATAAATTTAATATAACAAAAACCACTACAAGAGGATGAAGTTTCTTAACACAAAAAAAAAAGGTGATGGTGTCTAGGTATACATACATATGTACCTGGTATACATCCTCATGTGGTTATATACATAGACAAAACCATGAATATTTACATAAGGCTTATGAATATATAATTATTCACTTCCATAAATTATAAATTCATGCAAAACCCAATTAAGCATCGCAATAGTTTAAAAGAAGGAAATAACACAATTTGAACATTAAAACTTGTTATGAAATGTATGTACGTTAGTATAATCATTCCGCTTATTCCAATTATTGTATGAAATCAAAAAAAGAATTTCATGCTCCCGGAATTGAGGAAAGATTCAACAATCCATTTGCGTAAAGTGAGGAGTTCGTGTGTATTTTTTTCTTCCCAATCAAATTAGTATCATGCCATTTGCTCATTACTACTGCCAAACTTGTTTGGATCGCAAGAATTATGATTACTACATATTTTGTTACTGGTGTAATAGTTGTTCATATTAATGCTGTGGTTATAAAGGCCAGACGATCTAGAAGTTTTCAATAGGGAATCAGAAGAGGGAATGGCCGTAGAAAAGCTTCTAGCAGCCGGCTTTGGGCCAAAATTATTATTTTGTGCTGATACTTGCGTTGCAGCAGCCTTTGTTCCAATACCATGATTATTGAATTGGCATGAGGCTGAAGGATATTCTTCGTATGTCTTCGACACCTCAAAGTAACCAACGCGTTTATCACATTCGTTCCCTCTGTTACTGACGGCCGTGTCGTATTCGGTGTCGACTTCATTATTATTTTGATTATTCTGGGAGTGGTATACTGCTGCTTTCGGTGACAATGAAATACCATTACAAATTTTGGTGGAGCCAATAGTTGATGGTTCAGATGTCTTTACATTACTACAATCTGATAAGTCTTTTTCTTCTTTCATCGATTCGTTGACCAAATTTAAGTTCGAGCCAAATATAGTCGGTTTTTGTAGAAGCTCATTGTAGTAGTAAGCAGTGGTTCGCGGCTCGAAGGTGTATAGCGTGCGTCCAATATTCTTTGTAGATACCCCAAAAATAGCGGGGCAGCTACTATCAGCCTTCAGATTGCCATCAACGTTGGTGTTCACAGTGTGACTAGCGAAAGCAGAAGTTATATTTCCAATTGGCATACTATCATGCCGCCCAACGCTGTCACGATTTCGGCCGCTCGAATTGCTTAGCAAATTTGGTTGGGAGCTATGGTAATGCGAAATTACATTACGGGTTGCTACCACATTGATGCCTTTGGAGAGTTGCACACAATGATTTTTTGTGGATAATCCACCGGGCATAGAGGAGGCTGGTTTTATAATTGGAACCATTTTGTAAACACAAGCTTGCTGTTTTAGCTTACCAGCTGGTGTGTTAGGTGTGGAATTGTAATTCAATTCATGTCTCAAAGGTGGTGGACGTGGCGGTGTTGGAGGCCGTTGATCCGTTGAAAGCGAAAAGGAGTTTCGCCTTCCAATGGAACAACGGGGTACTGAAGATGATGAAGGGCGACAGCAGGGAAAGTTGCATGGTGGTGCGATATGTGGAGGGAATATCATTTCGTTTGGGGAATCAGGTAACTATTTGATGTTTTAAGGAATGCGAAAGAGTATTTATAGAGTTAGAAAATTAATACATAGTTACCACAACCAGTGAATAAAGATTCTTAAAATAAATAATGATTAAAATCAAAAGAAGTACTTATATTATTTTTCCACTAAATTACACATCGTTAGCTTAAAATAGAAAGGCCCGAACTCATTTTCACTTCGAATCCAGATTTATAAAAAATATGTTAAATAGCTCACAATATATTTAACAGAAATTGAAAACAAATGTTACAGCATTATTATGCTTAATACAAATCAGCACTTGAACGAAATTCGCTGTTGGAGAACTTTGTTTTTTGATAAATTACAACGCTTTCATCAACTTGCAATGTTGTGCGTCCAGAAACTTTCAATGTTGTGGATCCAGAAACTTTCAATGTTGTGTGTCCGACACCAAAGCAAAGCTTTGAAAAGTTCCTATAAAAAAGCATAGTGAATAGGGCGAGGTAGATGACATCTAGATGTCGCCCTATGTACTACGTTTGCTACACCGGAAATAGACGACACGCCATTTCTTTAAATAAAATTAATTGGTGCTCGTTTGTATGTACATACATATGTAAATGCATGTGTGTGCACCTTTCTATTAATATCGTTGAATTATTTTAATATCTATTGCAAACTTTTATTCAGACAGGACTAAAAAGTAGAAAATAAATAATATAAAAAAAACTTTTTAATATACAACGCTTTTATAAATGGACTAAAAAGTAGAAAATAATATTTCTCAGTCCCATAGAATTTGTTTTGATAACTTTTGATTTTGAAATTTTAGCAAAAGTTATTATAAACAATCTATGAAATTGAAAATGAAAAGCGTGGGGCGCATGTAATACACTTGAATTGATATGAAAAGTAATATATGTATGTATGTATGTGGGTATATGAATAACGACCGTTTAAAATCGATTTCAAAGGTCTACTTTCGCTGTAGAAATTTTAGGTCTACGTTATGTAGTTTGACTATTGTCAATTAAATCGAATGCTTTGTATTGCATGCGCTCCACGTTTTTCATTTTCAATTTCATAGATTGTTTATAATGACTTTTGCTAAAATTTCAAAATCAAAAGTTATCAAAACAAATTCTATGGGACTGAGAAATATTATTTTCTACTTTTTAGTCCATTTATAAACGCGTTGTATATTAAAAAGTTTTTTTTATATTATTTATTTTCAAACTATGTTTGAAGGAACAAAATGTGTGATAGGGCCTTTCTACATATATTAAGATAACGATATATGTATATACGAATATATATGTATCTACAGATGTATGTATGCAAAATGTGCATATGTACAATTCGAAACTATTACTAATCATTGCTTGAAAATATGTACATATGTACGTACATACATATGTACACTAGACTGCATCACTCCCCATACAAAAAAAAAATCGGCACTATTTTTCCATTGGAATTATAAAATCTATTATATTTTAAGACGTCCACCAAAATATTTTGGAAAAAATATTAAGATTTAAGTGAGCTGGACCGATTTGAAAATACCTCCGATTTGAAATACCTCCAAAAATAGTTTCTTAAAGATTTTTTTTGAAAAAATCCCCTCAAATAACAAAACGGTTTAAGCTTAAAAAATTTGCATAAAAATATTTAAAAAATTTGAACGGAATCGTGATGATGAGATTTTTGATGCTGTTTTATAACTTTTTTCAAAGATTGGTATAGGAAAAACTTGAATAACTGAACCTAAACTCTTCCGATTTAGACTTAAGTAGTGCCATTAGAAAGGTATTTTCTCACCTTTTTTATTTCTTTGCTAATAAACTCATGCAAAGGATGAAAGAAAAAGGTAGGATGAACGAACGTCATTCAAAGTCGAATTAAGAGGCTTTGGTGTTTGAAAAAAAAAAATAAAAATTGGGACACGAATGACGTTTTTTTTGGCCAGAAATGAAAACAGTGTGAAAATACCTTTCTACTTGCTCCCATAAGTCTAAATCAGAGCATTTTTGGCCCCATTATTCATGCAAAGGATGAAAGAGAAAGGTAGGATGAACGAACGTCGTTCAAATTTGAATTAAGAGGCTTTGGTGTTAAAAAAAAAAAAAATTGGGAAACGAATGACATTTTTTTTGGCCAGAAATGAAAACAGTGTGAAAATATCTTTCTACTTGCTCCCATAAGTCTAAATCAGAACATTTTTGGCCCAGTTATTCAAGTTTTTCATAAACCAATCTTTGAAAAAAGTAAAAAAACAGCATCAAAAATCTCATTCTTACGATTTCATTGAAAAGATTTTTAAATATTTTTATGCAGATTTTTTAAGCTTAATCCAGTTTGTCATATGAGGGGAGCTTTTTCAAAAAGTTCTTTAAGAAACTATTTCTATTCATAAAAAACTTCATTGTTGGAGGTATTTCCAAATCGGTCCAGCTCGCTT